ATGAGCTGATAATTAGGTTATTCTAAGATATTTCACTAGCTCTAGCTCTGCCAGAAAGGTATAAGACAATATATAATAATACTACAATAATAAATAATAATACTACAATAAATTTGCCAATGATTTCTTAAAAAATTACTTACAATAATTTCGAGGGTATTAGAATAGTCATGCCTCTCAATTGTTTTGCATGCGCAGCTTATTGTAGTTGCACCTTCTTCTTCGGCGCTTGCTTTGCTCTTAGTTGAGCCTCCTCTCTCTTCATTCCCTCGCTCTCACTCGTTTACACACGCTGACCGCACTGACAAGATCAGCAACAACAACAACGCAAACAACAAAAACACGAATTAAAATTGTAAATGTCGCGACTTTGGGGGATGGCAATGTCGACTCTCGACTCGCGACTCTCGGACGTCGATTCGATTCGATCCGATTCGATGCGAATCGCGCTTGGCAAACAAGTTTAAAGCCCGCGCCAGACGCAGACAGCGACAGCAGCTGAGGCAATGGGGAGGGGGATAGCGAGAAGGTGCGCTGACAATGGGGGAGGAAGGGAGCTGGCGTAACGGACGCCAAGAAATGCAGATGTAGCTGACAGCGCAGCCGCGACGCCAACGTCGACGCCGCCTGTGCTGAATCTTTTGCAAACTTTGAACTGAACAAATTTAATGGATATTCTTTTGAGTATTCCAATAGAAGCTTATTATTTATTTATATTCATATAAATGAATTATTAATTATAACAAATATTGATTTGATATTTAATATTGTTATTCATTGTGGAGTTGTGTGAGTTTTGTTTGCCTGTCGCCGTTCCATTTCCAATGTTATCCCCAGCCTCATCCACTGTCAAGCAAAAACTAGCAAAGCTCGCTCTGCATAATTGTCAAACTAAATCAATGGCTTACACATGTACACACACATGCACAAACTTCCTCTCTCTCACACACACAGACACATTCGAACGTGTGCTCGCTTCTATGCTCTCTTCATCATGATCTTATCGTCAAGCAAAGTCATGTCGCCTGCCAAGGCTCTGCTTGTCGTGTCGGTTCCTCTCTCCTCTGCTCGTGCTCTTCTTCTTCATTTTCATCTTCGTGTTCTTCTTTTTTGGTGAATCTTCGACTGCCGCCACTTGGGCGCAATTATTTTATTTTACACTTGCAATTGGGGACAACATAACTTTGCTCATAAACTCCGCTAAGGTGTGTCTCATCTACTCTGTACAAAGAGCAGCGCATAGAGTGGCTTAGCTCGCCTCTCTAGTTAGGTGGATGTCAAAATGAATCTACACTAAAATGATCCGAATTTACTCGCATTCTGAAGACATTTCCCTTCACTTTATATTGATAAATTTTGATAATTATTATATATTGATAATTATATATTGAATTATAATTCAAAATCCTTAACCGTCTAAAAAGAGAAAAATTTAATTTAAATTTTGAAAATGAAAAGAAACAAATTTTTCAGATTTTAATGTTGTAGAACGAAAGGAATTATTTACTCCAACTATGCAGCAATTTTTAAAGATTAATAAAGAATTACAAAATTTAATTTTCATATTTCCTTAATCTCTATTATTTACAATATTAGTTACTCTCGTTCTCTCTGTATTCCCCTTTAAAAACTTCATTCTAGCTAAAATAGTTTTTTTGTGTAGAGTACTTAAAGTCTCGCTCTGCTTTGCTTTTTCAATTTTTTCTCCGAGTGTTGAGTTATTGCAAAAGACCTTGGACTTAAGCAGCAGAGCAGCAGCTGCAGCAGCTGCCGCATTGCACTGACTGTACCGATCGGCACCCGCACCCAGCTCTACACGCCAGCTTCGGCTACCTAACATACTTCGGCTGCTCCTTTTGCTGCCTCTCTTTCTCTTCGGTTCACTTTGACTGTCTCTTGGTGCAATTTGTCATTGCGACGTCAGCGAGACGACGAGAAGCGTGCGCCAAAAGCTAACTGCGGCCAGCTAACCAGTAGCACCCGCTACAATTCCTACTCTCTCCTCTCTTCACTCTGCTTCCAGCTCTACTGCTGCTGCTGTCTTCTTCATCTATCGCTGGCTGCCATCTGCGTACAGTTAAAAACAAAAGACGGACAGCCGGCTTTGACTCTCCCGCTCGCACTCCCACTCTGCTTGTGATTCAGCTGTGAGTAGCCATCGTATGTGCATGCATGGGTGTGTGTGTGTGTGTGTGTGAGTGAGTTTGTGAACTGCTGGCGAACTGCTGTTTGGCTGTACTCTGTTTGTTACTGGCGCTCCTTCGACGACTTCTTTATGGCTCTTGATTTTTATGATTTTGCTGTTTAATGGTTCATTTGTGTCTTGCAGCGCCCCTCACTCTCTCTCTCTGTCTCTCCCTCGCTGCTCTCTTACTCTTATTTTTTGTGTTCTGGCTTTCAGTTTGCTTATCGCTGCGTCTATATCTTTAGTTTTTGCTTTCCTCCTCCCCAGCCCCACTCGCCCGCTGTTTACATGACTCAGTCTTAGCTTGCCTTCCGCTCTTTTCGCTCTCTATCTCTTTCACTCCTGTTGTTTGTGTTTGGCTTCCAGTTTGCTTATCGCCGCTTCTATATCTTTAACTTCTCCCTCCCTTCTTTCTTTCTCTCTCTAACTCTCTCCCTCTCTCTCTCTCTGCTGCCTTTGCTCCTGGCTTAATCTCTGTTTAACATTTTTGAGCAGAACGCAGTCGCCGTCGCGTCGCCACTTTTTGGCCAACTTGTGTTTAGCCATCGTTTTGGCCAAGTTACGGCTGCAGCGCTTCAGTTAACTGCGTTGTTTGTTTGCTTGTTGTTTGCATAGTTAGTGAGGGGTTTGCACTCTTCTCTACCTCTATTAGTGTCTTCCTCCTGCCACACCCCTTCTTCTGCTCCTCTTGCTCTATTTTTTTTTTTTTTTTTTGTCATTTAAGCTTTTGTGTTCGCCAATTTATGTTGCATACTTTGTAGACATGCGATTTGTTTGTATGATCATAGCTTAACGAAGAGATCAATTATATATATATATATATATATATATATATATATATATATATAATTGATCTCTCTATATATATATATATAGATATGTAGGTATTTTACTGCGACATGAATTTGAATCGTTAACTAAAATCAGCTTTGCCTATAATTATAGTAGTCTTGTCCTGCTTCGAAGTATTCTCAAAAAGTATTTCATATTCGATTTTAAATAAATCGATTAATTGAAAATGAATTTAGTTAATAAAAGCGATTGTTGATAAAACCATTTCTATATACTAATCGATTTCAATTAATCGATTATTTCGCACATGGGCTTATTAACTATTTTTGAGCAGGTTACCATTATAATCGATAATTTATCCATCATTGGTATACCAATATACTATATATACTGCTATACAAAGCAAATAAATCGACTAAAATTGACTTTCAGCATTAACCTATAGATGCGAAATTACATAATCAATAGACAATTATCGAAGCCAAGTCTTCAGTAATTGTCTCGACACCTTTAGGCACTTGAATGCAACTTTCCACACCTAACCTCCATGGTCAGATCGATTATCTGCATTGATGCTGGCATTTGCACAGCTATCGAATGGGTTTAATCGTAATCGTAATCGTTTTCACGTTTTGGCATTGTCAATAGCTCTGCTAATGACTCCACAGCTAATGACAGCTCATCATTATCGGCTAAGCCAGCGATTAGTTGGCTTGTAAACTTCCAATGGCCAAGTGCTTGGTTAGCCAACTGCCGAATGGCCAACATCTTGGCCGTTTGCTCAACTGCCGCAATGACACCTCTGGCAAAAGCAGCCGAAGTGGAAGAAGAAGAAGACTTTGCAGCGAGCAACTGACAACTGGCAACTGCAACTGGCAACTGGCAACTGGCGCCGCCTCCATTCAAAATCACTTTATGGCTGAGTCGACGGGGCCATAATTGGCCGCGGTGCCAATCATTTTAACAGCTAGGCAAACACGCGAACCCAAAGCAAATCGAAAGATAGAAGAGCCCAGAACCCGAATCGAGAACCAGTCAACCATCCGCCTAGCCAGCCATCCGGCCATCCTCCAAGTGCCGCATGTCTGCGGGAATGTCGCTGAATGATAATGCAAAATATGCCACTCAAAGAAGCCAAACAACTCCTTTTGACACATCTACACTGAGCGAAAAGCGAGACAGAGCGAAGCGTTGCAGGAGAAATGTTATGGATGGAAATATTGAAAGACGGACGGAAGCATTGAAGAGCGGAAGGATAGACAGACTGAAAGACGGACGGAAGGATAGAGAAGTAGAATGACAGGCAGATAAACGGAAACACGGGCGGAAGGGAGGGCACAGAAGACAAAGGCAGATAAACTGAAGAACGGATGAACGATGGAACAGATAGATGGACAGATTCTCCTGTCTGAGAATTTACCGATAGACTCATGCACATGTCACGTTTCCTCCTGTTTGGTACATACACGCATGCAAATCTTATAATCCCGAATTTTTAACATTTTTTATTAGGGTTAGGTTAGGAAAATGACAAATCTTAATCTTATTATTATATTAGAATTATTTTTTATTTTTTGAAAAAGCTTACTAAAAGTAGGTTTGGAAGCTATCAAGAAAGCTTCGGCTTAATTAAACAGATAGAGAATGGCCACAACAATGCGAACTCTTTCGTAATTTTGTGCAGTGTACTTTGTTTGGGCATTCGCTCTGGCTGGCTGTCTCAATGACAATTGGCGCCATAGCCGCGGGGCGTTTAGCAGTTGGGGCCGTTCGAAGATCGTCGCCGCGCTGGGATCCGCTCGCTGCTGGCGGTGATCCTGTCTGGGCCAGTTGTTTGTTTATAATTAGCCGCGTCGAAAACGATGCTGGCGACGGCGCGCTGGCAATTCAAATTAATGGCCAACGGCTACTGGTTTCGCCAGCATCTATTTTTATGGCCGATCAATTTTCTAATAACAGTCAGCTAACTCACTCACTCACTCACCCTCTCTCTCTCTCTCTCTGTCTTTTTCTTCTGCTGCAGGTGGAAATGCTGATGGAGGACTCGCTGCTGTTGCCGATGGGTTTGGTGGCGCCAGCGCCGCCGCCGCCACTGCCGCCATCGCAGCCGGCGGGAGCGCATCAAACGCTGCCCGCCAGCCTGAAGCATCATCCGCACACCCTGCCGCACCATGGAGCGCGCGTCGAGCTGTTGGACATTCCGAGCAAGAAGCTAAAGGCAGCCGCCTTGGATAACTACTATCCGCTGGACCTACAGCACTACCAGATGATGTATGCCCATTGCATGCAGCAGAGGGAGCGGGAGCGGGAACGGGAGCGCGAGAGGGAGCGTGAGAGGGAGCGGGAACGGGAGCGAGTGGTGTCACAGCATCCGCTCTCGAGCAGCGCCTTCCAGCCGTGGCACGCCGTAAAGCCCACGGCTAGCGCCTATCTGCATGCGTACACAGCGCTCTCCTCGCTGCCCTACGCCTGCCAGGAGCCGCCGGAGCTGCAGAATCCGGAGCGTGTGGTGAGGAGCACAGATCGCGAGCGCTTCGAGCGCACCTATCAGCCCAATGTGGCGCTCGCTCCGCGCAAGAGCATCCTGAGCAAGGAGCGCGAACGCCAGCGCGAGCTGGAGCAACGCGAACTGCAGCTGCACATCAAGCAGGAGCGGGCAGCAACGCCGCCGGCCGCGATCAGCGAGCGCGAGCCGCCAAACGGTAGCCAGAGCAGTCACAGCAATCACAGCCACAGCAGCAGCAACAGCAACCACAGCAACCACAGCAACAGCAGCAACAGCAGTTCGCCCATGCCGAAGGCGGCGCCTGTTGTTGTTGCGCGTCAGGTGCCGGCCGAGGAGTTCTCGGCGGGCAGCAATGAGATTACCTCCTCCACATCGCCGGTGCCGGCCGTGGCAGCAGCAGCGCCAGTTGCTGCCAACCAAGCAGCAGCAGCAGCAGCAGTTGCCGTCGCTGCAACGCCGCTGAGCAACCACATCATAGCCACCGTCAATCAGCATGCCAAGCTGTTGCCCAGCAGCAGCAATCACAATGAGCCGAGTCGCATTAGGATCAACAAGAATCTAATGAGCCAACCGCCAGTAGCAGCAGCAGCAGCAGGAGCAGCAGGAGCAACAGTGGCACCAGCAGCACCAGCAACAACAATTGTGGCAGCACCTGCGGCGGCGGCAGGAGCAACCGTTGCTGCTGTGCAGCCCATCTACTACAAGGCTGGCTACTCGCCCACGCAGTCTTCCAGCGCAGGCCTCAATCTCAGCACGCACTCCTCCAATGTGGTTAGCTCGCCACATGCCAAGCAGCAGCAGCAGCAACAGCAACTCCTGCAGCTGCAACAGCAGCAACAACAACAACAGCAGCAGCAGCAGAAGCAACAGCAACAGTTGCCGCTGAATGGCAAATCACATTTGGGCAGCGAGTTTGAGCTGTCAACGGATACGGATGATGACAGCCTCCACGGTGAGCCGGACAGCAGTGCGATGCACTTGCCGCCGTGGGAGCTGGCGGTGGATGCGTTGCGGGACACCAGATCGAAGGATCGGGAGCGTGTGCTGCATCTGTTGCAGCGACTGTTGCACGAGAATCAAAAGTATCGCGAGTCGAATGTGCAGCTGAGCGAGCTGCTGCACAAGCGGGAGGAGGAGATTGGAGAGCTGCGCGAGCAGCTGCAGCGTTGTCGCCGCCAATTGGAGGCGATGGATAAGCTGCGTGTGGTGCCATTGAAGCAGCAGCAAACGTTGCTCGAGGAGGAGGAGGAGGACGACGAGGAGATGGACGAACTGGACGACGAGGAGGAGGAGCAGGAGCTGCTGTTGGGCGCCAATGAAGCCGATAGCAAAGAGACGCTCAATCAGGATCAGGCCAACAACAACAATAAAGTAATTAGCTCGCTCAACTGTTGCACAACCGTTGCGCAGCAAAAGCAGACGCAGCGAACAGAGGAGGAAGAGGCGCCAGCAGGCAAGCGACTCAAGCTGCAGTCGAATGGACATGCCCAGAGTCCAAGCGCAAGTCGCAGCAGTGGGGAAGAGGACGAGGAGGAGGAGGAGGATGAGGAGCTGGAGGAGCATGAGCACGAAATGGCGCTGGCTGAGCGCACGGCGCAGGCACCGCACAGCAGCGCCCTGGCTGCGCCGCCCACCGCGACCACGCCTCAATCGCCCGATTCGGCGGCAACGGCTGGTCAGCTGTTCGATGGTAGCAACAGTAGCGTAGAGACGGCCATGAAGAAGGCGCAGATATGCAGCGAGGAGGAGGAGGAGGAGGACGACGACGACGACGACGACGACCAGCAGCAGGAGGCAGAGCAGTTGACGCGAACAGAGCAGCGACAGCAGCAGCAGAAGCAGTCAGAGGATTCGGATGATGATGAGATGCCGCTGCAGCAGCGACAGCAGCAGCAGCAACTGCAAACACAGCAACTGCAGCAGCAGCAGCAACAGCAGCGACGTCAGCGTCGCGAGGCCGCTGCGCTGCCAGCGGCAGCAGAGGCGACGCCAGCGCCAGCAGCGCGACCCATTTTAATGGCCACCAAAGCGAGCAAAAAGCAAACGCCGCCAATTACAGCAACAACAACAACAACGAACTGCGAATTACAAATCAAAAAGGAAATTGTCTAAGCCGCAGAACCTCAGCCCCGCGCCCCCTCCAAAGCCCTGCCCTACCCGCCAGCAGCAAACGCATTGCAATTAACACTTAGAACTTAGCTCATATAGTCGTCTCTTTCACACACACACACACACACTAAGCACAGTTTAAGAGTTTACAAAAAGCAAATGAAAACAGAGAGAAGAAAACAAATACAGAATTATGCTCAACGCTGCTTAACGCACATACAAAATTGCTAGAAAAGGACAAAAACTAAAAGAAAACAAAAACGAAAATGAAAACGAAACGTTTTCCAACACTTTCTCTAAAACCATTTTTTATTTGTAGCTTGTTTTGATCTCACGTATAACACAACAAATTTGTTAGGCTTCCAAAAACAAAATAAAAAGCTCGCTGTTCTTTATGAAAAACAAATTCATAAAATAAAACAAAAAATTTAAATTTAAATACTAACAACTATTTCTATAATTTCTCTAAAAAAAATTTCTTCAACTCTGCTGCAGAAATTATGAACATTGAAACCAAAGCTTTAAATGAATAATAAAATTAATAAAATATAAAACAAGAATGAAAAGGAGAAAAAAAAAACAAATTATTAATTTATGCGTGTGTGTCTAATTACAAATTTTAATTTTTAAAATTAGTTTTTAACAACTTTGAAGACATTACACAAAATGAAGATGAAAAAAAAGATAAACTCAAAGCGAGGCTTGCAAAACATTTTTTAGCAAATTATTCAACACTGGATATCTTTTTTTAACACTAACTACAGGCATCCACAGTAAAAAATACCTTCTAATCTTTATTAGATTTTTTTGATTAAGCTTTTTATTTTTTATTTTAGTTTAATTGAATTAATTAATTTTAAGTTACAAGTTTTAAAACGAATAAGAGACAACGTTAACGTAAGAGCAAACGCGCGTTGCGAGAGCGAGACAAAAATACACACACAAAATGAACCCACCACAGAATAAAAAATAAATAATATATATTAAATACTTAAAATACAAAATAGAAAACAAATTAACAAATGTTAAAAAACAGAAAAAACGAATCGCTTAACGGTACGTTTCGTTATGTAACGTTACGTAAAAATAATGTAATGAAACATGAAGTTTTGCAATGCAACATAGCATTACAAAATACAATAACGTAACTTGACGTTACGTTAACGTAACGTAATGTTACGCGATGCTGTGAATGGTTATGTTGAGTGCAATGCGACGTATCGATATGCAATGACAATTATTATAACATCACGTAGTGCTACGTGGCATAGTTACGTAAAGCAGTGTTACGTAACGATATGTAATTTGACGTAAACTACTTCAACGTAGCGTAATGCGATGTAAAGTAATGGAATATAACGTAACTAATGCACGGTAACGTCACATAACGTAACGTACTTTAAGTTAAGATAAATGAATTGCTAAACCAATCTTAACGTAACGTAATATTTAACATATTTTACTGAACAAGTTGCCGCGTTTAGTTATATATATATATATTTATATATATATACAAATGTATATTATATATATAACTTACATACACACACAATTATATACATATATATGTGTGTGTACATATATATGAACATAAATATTTATTATACAAATTTAAATTAATTGTAAAACTTTTCTGTTTCTTTTTGTAAGCAGCGCTTTGTAGGCATTTAGTTAATTAGTTTATAAATAAATAAACAAAAAATATATAAACAAAAAATTAAATAAATAAAAACAGAAAAAAAACAAGCAACAGAAGAAACGCTAAAAAAATAGTTCTTAAGCAATTTCTATTGTGAATGGCAAATACTCGTAATTGTTATTGTAAATATCATTTCTAGCGATAGTTATCGCTATCTGATGATCTATCGGTATGTGACAGACCATTTCTTTATTTCGTTGCCAACACTGTTTGGAGAAGAAAAAGAAGAAGCAGTTGATACAAAAAGAAGAAGACGAAAAACGTAGCCAAGCCAAGAGCCAAGATTTCAAAAATCTATAAACTTTTGTTAAACATATATGTATATATATACATATAATAATATGACTATATATATGCATATATATATATATCTTAAATTTTAATTACGCCTGTGTATTTTGTACTTTCTAAAAGAACACTCACAAAAAAGCGCCCTGAGTTTGTGTTTTTAAGTAAATTTCGATAAACAAATAAAAACTTTAAACCAAAATTTCTAAAATTGTGTAAAATTGTAAATTTAATATACAAAAAAGAGGAAAAAAAAACAAAAAAATTAAAATTAAAAGTAAAATTAATATTAAAACTTAAATTTAAATATATATAAACATACATTTAAAGTTTAATAACTTAAACAAAATAAAACAAAAAGAACAATTGTTATGCAAATTTAAAAGTTATTTAAATTATATGCAAAAAAAAAACAAAATAAATAAATAAAGAAACGAAAAAAATTAATTACAGATTGCTATGCAAAAGTAAATAAAAACAACAAAAAACAAAAAATCCATTTATTGTACATTCATTATTTTTTATTTTTCATTTAGAAAAAGAAGAAGAAAAAGGAACACGCAAACAAACAACAAACTTCCCACAGAACCAGCAATCAAATTTACACAGGTCAGCGTAAATTTGAGGAAAATTATTAAACAAATATTGGATGGAAATTTCTAATTTGTTTCAAATTTTTTTACTTCAATTATGAAAGACTAAAACAAAAAAAAAACATTAACTTTTAGTAAAAAAAAACAACCTAAGTTCAATTTTTGTTTACCAAATTATGTTGGCCTGTGTAAACAAAAAAGAATATATATATATATATATAAATTCAAAAAAAACTTAAACAAAAAATAATGGTTAATCAAAAACGGTTTTCAGCAGATTTTTTTTACATATAAAAGGCCAAATTTTACAAATTACAAACTAACCAAATTATAAAAAAAAAAAATAATAAAAAACACTTTTTTGTATAATTTTTATTTTGCTAATAATCCAAAGAAGTTTTTTTTTTATAAAAATAACAAAAGTAAAAAAAAAAAACACTCAAATTAAAAAAAAAAAAAGAAAACTTAAAAAACAATCATTTTATTAAAAAACAAATTTTTACACAAAAAAATAATAACAGCTGCTTAAAAAACTAAACAAAAATATTGTTTAAATAAAAAAGTTTAAGATAAAAAAAATAGCAACAGTTAAAGGCATTAGTTATAAATAAAAACGCAAAAATATATACAGAAATCCGCGTCTTGTCAATATTTACATATAAACATTATTATTATTAATATAATTTAAATATTTATTGTGACATTCAGAATGCAAATAAAATGTACAAATTGTGGAGCAAAATAAAACAAAACTGCAGCCGCAACGCGATTTAAAAAAACAAAATAAAAACAAAAAACCAAAATAAGAAAAAAAAGTTAAAGTTTAATCAAATTAAACAGTTAAAGGACAACAAGAAACAGCAACAACAAAATTTGACTTCAACGTTTCATATTTAAGTAGTACAGCAACAAATAAAATAAAAACCAACAAAAAATTATATAAGATTAAATAAAACCTAAAAAAAAATTTATTACATATGTAAAGTCAAGACAAAACACAAAACACAAAAAAAAAAAAAAACAAATGGTAAATATTATGCATAAATAAATATTTGAAAACATAAAATATTGAAAGAGTTCTCATTTTTATTTTGATATGCATTACAAAAGAAAGTGTTGCGTGCATTCAGGCAGCTACTTTAAAATGTTTTCTATTTTAATGAAGCATACTCTTAGGCTGCATACGATAATTTAGCAAGAACACAGACCTACTTGACAATGAAATTATCTGGCTACTTGCCGTCAGAGGGCGACTGAAATATAAGGCAAGTCGTAGGTTCACGTACTAGTTAGTGTGTTCACAAACCTCAGCGCACTTCTTTAATATCTGGGAATTTCTATGAGCTTACATATAAAATAACAAGATGGCGCTACGAGAATTGCCTTTTTAAAAACGGCGTGATTAACGTATTTTGCATATATGAATAATTTAATCCACAAATGTCTTCAGTGTTGTATATATAGAATATAGATAACTTTTCAATTTTGAATATTCCTCTTTTTATATATAAGGATGCATTCATATCAATAGCTATCAATAATTAAAATTTCCCTTAGGATTCGCTTACCTGTTGCACCGATTATAAACTTCTTCACTGTCTCTCCTTACTCTCTTACTCTTCGACTGACCTAAGAGAAAGCAAGAAAACAACGCTCCAGAATCCGCTAAGAAGAAGAGGGCCAAGGGCCCGACTTAACGGTGTGCCGTGATCGAATCGTCTCGGCCAGCCTCTTCTTCAGTCTGAACGAGCTAACGGAACGAAACGCGGCGCGTGCGCATGAATGAAAATTTATTGTTAGCTGCAATCAAGTGAAATGAATTTAAATTAAATAACAGGAAATTAACTAGAAATGTTGCGAAATATAAATTAAAGCTATTCAGTCAAGTAAAGGCCAGTACAAAAACAATTTGAAGTACCGTCTAATTGTTTTTCTCGACTCAATTTTAGTTCGTGGCGTGGGATATTTTACTTTGTTTTTTGTTGTTTCGTTTTGCCTTTAAGCATTTTCAGGTGAAACCGGTTTCGCTCTCTTCTGAGCGCAGGCGCGTAGGCAAAGCGGAACGTGGAAGTGAAAACATAAACAAAACAGAGCAAAATATTTGCACAGCAAAAACAAGAACAATAACACAGAAACAGTAACCCAATTGAAGCCGAGAGGAGACACATTGTAAGAGATGAGCGCACGTTCGCCACACAACGATCCAGCATTGGCTGGACTGCCACAGTTAATTGAGGATTTGCAGCGCCTGAGCGAGGATCAGGACAGCGCGGATGTGGTCTTCATTTGCGGCCGAGATGATGAGAAGATTTACGCACACAGAAGCATCCTCATGGCACGGTTCGTAAATTGCAGCGTGAAGCTGGAGATAGCACGTGACAAAAATATCATGTGTGGAGCTAAAATATTTATAATATTTAAAATGAACAATATAGATTAATATATTGTTTGATATATTTGTCTTACTATAAATTTTTGAATGGTATATTTAGTTTATATGTATATCCATTCTTAAGTTATTCGCATTATCAAAACAGTCACGCGCTCATCTCTAATGCCCAGAAGACCAGAAGACCAATTGGTCTGACTGTCCTTTTATGGTGGATGCTACACTGCGTGTTGGTATTTTGTGGCCACCGCACGTGCCACTCATTGTAGTGATTAAATAATTAAAAGTTTATGTTTCTTACTAGCTGCAAGAGCTTTAAGACAGCAAAGCGTGGTGAGGTCTGTCGCATTCCCATACCAGGCTGCACAGTTTCGCCCGCTGCTCCGGGCACTGGGACGCCGACTGCAATACGTTTGCCGCATATTAATGCCGAATTGTTCCGACAGTTTATATTGTATGTTTACACTGCAAAGGTAGGCTAGATGCATAGTGCACCTGTTTATATCATGCTTACCTAATTATTTTATTTCTTATAGCTAATGCTGCAGGATTATCGTGTCTTTGAAATGTTAACACTGGCCCAGGATATGGGCGTATTTGAATTGCGTGCTGCTTGCGAGGATCACGTTATTTCCACATTATCTGTAGATAATGCGTGCACTTTTTTAACTGCCGTTATGGATATTCACGAGAAAGCAGGTGCGTCACTCCTATATTTCACATTTATAATTTTGCTTTACCGCGCTTATTCGATAAGAAAAAACATTTCTGTCACTCAGCTGCGCGCGTTTCGATTAAAACAGCTGTTGCTTGATTTTGGTCGTAAAACTATCGATGGCAAGTTACCAAAAATACCAAAATGTTGCATATCGCAAGTTAGTGCTATCGATATCCCGTAGCACGTTTTATTTACCCAGAAAAATACAAAACATGTATGAAACATTTAGTTTTTTTGGTTTTTATTGTTTATACAACGAGTAGAACTAAGTAGAACTAACTATTAACAACGAATAGCGCCCCAAGTGCAGTCGTACGTCACATCAGCAGCGTATCTAGCTCACATATTTGATTGCTCACGTTGTAGCCTTTGGCCATAGGTTCGAGAAATTAGATTCCATGAATCCATGAAGCGGTCCATACACAAGGATACGCATTTCTAGCAAATAATAAATATTGTTTAATAATAACAATAATAAAGTTACGATATTGCAGTATTGGGTCATCTGCTCACCTGCTCCGATGCGTCGAGCGAGGTTCCAGGCTTGTTAACGCACTTCTTAAAGCATTTTGTGGTCATCTGCGTGAGCAACTCCTGGGCATTGGCAACGGCAATCTGTTGCTTCACCTGGTCCATAATTTCCCCTTTATCAACGGTAGTGTGAGCCATGTTTATGTTTATTTTTGGACAAAAACTTCTCAAAACTTCTCCAACTGAGACCTTCTGACGCAACCGGTTTGTAATCAACTATCGATATACTCGGCTACTATGTTATCGTGTTTTCCAGTGACTAAGGTTGTATTGTCGATAGTATCGCTTCAGCGAAAAGACGCCGGCAACAAAAGCAGGAGAAAAAAATAGCAAACGTTTCTGCGAAAATTTTGTAAAAACGAAAGCCAAATTCAATAAGAAATCACCAAAATGTCATTCAAAGGCAATCCCAAGGTGCAAAAGGTGATGGTGCAGCCCATCAACCTGATCTTTCGTTATCTGCAAAGCCGTTCGCGCGTCCAAGTATGGCTATACGAGAACATTTCGCTGCGTATCGAGGGCCACATCGTGGGCTTCGACGAGTACATGAATCTGGTACTGGATGATGCCGAGGAAGTTTATGTTAAAACGCGTCAACGCAAAAATCTTGGACGCATCATGCTCAAGGGGGACAATATAACGCTTATACAGAATGTTAGCCCATCTAAGGATTAAGCTAAAATTCTTAAACTAATTTCTCTAAAGAAGATTAAGATTAAGTGAATTAACTGTAAATGGAAAAGTTAACCAACAATAAAATAAACGAAATTTTATATGAAATCTGCGAATTTTGAATGGGAAACCAGGTGAATTTGATTTTTAATAAGCTCAAATGATAAATGTCTTTATTTTCATTTACAGGTGCCAAATGCGCGGCTTCGTTTATGGAACGCTGCATCATTTACATAGGAGAGAATGCCAGCGAATGTGTTAAAACTAATTCCTTCCTTACACTCACCAAGGAGGCGCTTATCAAAATCATATCATCCGACTATGTAGGTGCTTCAAGTCATCAACTTTTGCATAGTGTATAAATTGTATTTTCTTCCAGTTCTGCTTGGAGGAGGCGGAAGTATGGAGATGTGTTTTAGCCTGGGCCAAGTATCAGGCCGGCGTCACCCAGCCCACAGCCCATTGGACCGAAGAGGAGCGCGCTCGAGTGTGCCAGCACTTAAGTGGCGTCATGGGGCATGTGCGTCTGCTGCTCATTGACAGTCAGGTGTTTGCCGAAGAAGTTGAGCCCACTGGTGCGGTGCCCATGCAATTATCATTGGAGCGCTATCGTTATGCTGCCCTTCATCCCAATACGCACTGCATCGACAATGACAAGCGCTTGCAGCCACGGCTTGCTGTAAATATGTTTCCAGGTTCCCAAATCTTGCGCAACGATAAGCTAGCACTGCAGGGTGTGCTCAATGGCTGGTTTGGAGTTCCTAAGCAAACTTGGCGCTTGGTGTTTCGCGCCTCCACTCATGGCTTCAGCTCCAGCGCATTTCATCGCTATTGCGATGGCGTTGCAAACTGCATTGTGATTGGACTGGGTGCGCATGGTGAGATTAGTGGTGGCTATACGGACGTGGCCTGGGCTAAGACAACCCGCAAGGGTGGCTACATCCACTCGGAGCGCGCTTTTCTGTTTATGCTCAATCCGCCAAATGGTGAGCAGCCGGTCAAATTTGATATCGTCAAGAAACCATATGCCATCTGCTATCATCCAGAGTAAGTGGGGGCGAGTGTCATGCAGTTGATCAAGATATTCGTTTAATCTCTTTAATAATCCACACAGTTGCGGTCCCACATTTGGCGCTGGTGCCGATCTACTCATATCGAGCAACTGCAATGTGAACAGCGATTCTTACTCCAATCTGCCGCACTCCTACGATGGACCCAGCGCCGCCCATGTGACACTTTTTGGTGACTACAACTTTACGATCAGCGATTATGAGGTGTACACGCTGGCCTCCACCCACGGCCACAATCAGAGTCACAGCCAGAGCCAAAGCCAAAGCCCAAGCTTGGCGAGCAATGGCCAAGCGCCGGGTGTGCCCAGCAAAGCGAAATATGATCGCTACTAAGTTAAGCAATTAGACACAAGACATATTTTGTAGCTGTCCAGCGAGCAGCACTCGCAGTTGGCAATAAAGATTCTGATACAGTTCGTAATCCCATTCAGCGTCTCGGATGTGTATGACAAGGCAGCAGCAAAAAGCTAGCCAGAAATGGAATGCTAATTAATGATTGGAAAATTTTTGACGGACTTCTGGGTTGTCAAGTACCAAAATAATGAACTTGTTTCCAGGTGTAAAGCTGAACAGGCGAGGGTAGTTTAAGAAGTTTTTAGATAAAGATTATGATTTATATATATTGAAGTTTAGGTAGGTCCTACGAGAGTAGTAAATGGAGTTTTCAGAGGGGTTTATAAGTTTATTAGCCTATGCTAGCTTGTACTTTATAAATGGACTTTCCAGTAGGAAACTAATGTCAACCATATTTCTGACTATCGATCTTCCACTATGGCATGCGTGGGTAGCTGTAGTTATTTAGTAAGTCATTTTTTTATAGTAATGCAATAGAAACTGCGAGGGCAGTTCTATAAGATTTTACGAATCCTTATAATATGTAATTATTGCTGGCATACAATACAATACAATTTCTATAGCTCTGTTATATTGGAGTAAGGGGAACTTTAGAAGTTTATGCCAACTTCATTAAACTTGGGGGAAATCTATGAACACAAACATTGCATATTTTCTATCTGCCAACTGAGGAAACAAAACCTTGATTCGAGGCCTTGTCCAAGCTCCACCTTCAGCTTGTATTCAAGTTCACTTTGAATTCCATTTGGGACAGCTGCTGCTGACATTCAATCTCCGACTTCGAATCAAACAAATTGCCCTGGAGGGCTCGTGCCCCCTGCGCCCTTTCAATTTCTAGTTATTCTTCTAGCTCAGCTCGCAGCAGCTGCAAATAACTCAAGTTGATATACTTATATACATATACACAGCGACAACAATGTGGTGTGTGCACTTGAACCCGGTGTTTGGGGTCCACACCTAGCCGTACAATAAACCATATCAGAGCGCAGACAATTGACAAAGGAAAACGAATGCGTAAAAGATAAATTTCAATTCAGTTTAGCTGGAATAATAAGTCACTTATAATGGCAAATGTTTGAGTTATAGTTCGATCTATAGAGTCCGGACTCCGGACTGCCAAGCAAGTAAACAACAACCAGCCACGCCTCCTTCGCCCGCGCGCCCCCTGTGGCCGCACTCCCTTCAGCGAGGTGTGCACATGGCGCTGAAGTTGATCTCAACTGGTTTTCAACTACTTTTCAAAATGCTTCTGATAAATTGGTCCACGCTTTAAATTGGTTCTAATTAAAGCGATTTTTTCTATTTTTCTATTTTTTTTCATTCTTTCAGTTTTATGCTGATCGAATCGATCAACGATCTAAGAGCATTGGCGAACTGTACCCCGCCTCAGGCCTCAGGCCTCCCGCCTCGTGTGCCCCACGGCAATCGTCTCAAATATTTTGGTGTCATTCGTCTCGGGAATTGGTATTAGGAATTGAAATCGAAATTGAAATTGAAATTCGAACAACAAACACTTGATGTTTGGCGTTTCATATGTTTTATTGTGACTGCACAAAAGATTGGCAGTTAAAATTTGTTAAGGCCAAAGCTCGAGAGCCCATTTCGATAAGGCAGCTCTATAAACAAATACACACATATATATGTATATACAAATGATCTTGTATGATCTTATGTTGTATTTTATATTGACTTTTGACAGTTTCCTTTTGGCAGAATGTCATTTATAGATCTTTTCGCTTGATTGTTGAGTGGATTAGATAAGTTCAGACAATTACCAAGAAGTGTTGCCTCACATCTACACATAGAATTCTATATAAAAAAAAAAAAAAAAAAAAGGGAAAGGCAAGGCACATTAAAACTGGCGCTAGCTTTTGTCACTCATTGTTGTTGGTGGGGTAAACTATGCGCGGATACTCATAGGAAACTAGTTCTAGCTTTTGACTCTATGCAAACAATTGCCAATGCATACGTATGTGGGCACATGTGTGTACATAGAGAGCATTATCTCTATGCAATGCCACTCGATTTGTAGGGCTGGCAAAATGCTGAACATCTTGATTCTAATCGAGTGACAATGTTAACTGAATTGAATTGATATGAATTGAAATCGTTGTACTATGGCGCAAACTCCTGGCTAAGTCAAGGAACCCAAGTATAAAAAATACAAATAATTCCAAAATTTATAATTCAATAGATCACGAAACCATATTTATCGGTAGAGTATTAGAATCCTATCAAACAGATAGTATACAAAAAAAAAAAAAAAAAAAAAAAGGAATGCATAACTAAAACTGTTAATCTGAAACTGAAAATCTTATGGGACTATAAGAATAGTTTTTCAATTTCCAAGAAGCTAAGAAGATTTCAACTAGAAACTATCCCTTTCAACTAAATAACAACCATATCTAGTCTATCTTAACTAAGGTTATATGATGCTCTAAGACAAGATTCCTAAAAGGTTGTTGAAGCTGCAAATCTAATTATTCTGAGTCATCTAAGCTTTGTACCATGAAACTCAAATCAATAGTTGAAAATTAAGTTGAGTGGTTTGTAAACGATGTAAAAGAATGAATAGGACTTAATTATATGTTTATGTGCTTCATATATAAGTATATTAAAACATAAATTTAAACTGTTCACTGAACCACGGAAAATATCTAGGTAGAACTGATGGCATGGCCCATGACCGAACCCAAAGTTTGCTAGAAAATATGAGCTCCAATGAACCAAAAAGCTCCACATTCAATCTAGCACAAACTTCAGCTTACATCAATTACAATGGTTTATGCCATTAAGAGTCAGAGGCGAGCCAGCCCTGGTCGCAGCGAATGTGCGATATTTGTTGGGCTTGGTCAGCGTTGTCCGTCATAAAAAAAGATATACATATAACAAAATAAATAAATAGAAACAATATGCCTGCTATTAGCCATGGCCATGGCGTGGTCAACACTCTCGGTCAACTGGAGCAGCTGGCCAACCCAAGCAGCAGTAGTGCTATAGTTTAGGTATAGCTCATTTACATACAAGTGCAGAGGTAGGATGTGAAACTGAAGAATGGACGTGAGCCTTTCTAAAAAAAAAAAGAAATAAAGAAACACACACACACACACACACGCACGCATACAGAGTTACTGCCTCCAACATTCCAGAGTCAAGTGCAAGCGACTTATTTATAGGTTTTCCGAGTGGAATAAATTTCACAATCAATTGCATTGAGTGTGAATCACTTTTTGGTATTCGTGCCGATGCGATCGACCAGGAGCTAGGGGCTGCTCATTAGGGCGGGTTTTCCTGACACATTCATGCGATCGATAAGATCATATGGCATGTCAGCTGTTGCATCCGTTTCCGTAAACGGAACAGCTTCAGACTCGATGCTCAACGCTTGCTGAGAGAGTGCGAGAGGGAGAGCGTGAGAGAGAGAGAGAGATAGAGAAGGAGAGTGAGGGAGAGACAGAGCTAGCCGATCCAGTTAAGAGGTGTTAATATGCAAATCGAATGTCTTTGCTTGGCTGTGACGTAGATATGTCTACGCCCTCATACAGCTGTCTTAGCCACACTCATCAGCAGCATCATTATCATCATCGTCATCGAAATCGCAATCATCATTAGCTTTAGCTCATCGCCAATTCCACTCGACATTACAGCGACATAGCTGATAGATACCTCTCCAAAATGCTGTAATGGCTAGACCCTAGTTCTAGCCAAAATTATCTCAAGAGAGGCGAGAGCGCCAAATTGAGAGAGAGCGAGAGAGCAAGTGGGAGAGCGTTTCACCTTTGTTTATGCTCTTAGGCAAGTGTAACTCTTTGATCGCTCTTCACAACCTGTTTTTTTTAAAGCCCACTTTAAAAATACTTTTGCTTTTCATTGCCTTCAAGACGACAACGACGATTTTGTTTGGTGATTAATATGCGCTTTTCGAAAATGAAACAAACGAGTCGCCAAATTGAAGCAAAACCAATATTCCAGCCGCGAGTCGAGCCAGCCACATTAGCGCAGATAAAAGACTTTTTAGAAAACTAAATTCGATAGCTGAAAATAAGTTTTGATTGGTTAGGCTAACGGCTAGAACTAAATTCTTGAATACATTTTATAATATTGAAAACTTATGTAGTAGAGTTTTAAATATTATATTTTTAACAGAGTCCAAGGAGTCACTTCTTTCTCTAGCCGTCATTTATTATACGTAAATTATACTTTTCTTTATTTTTAACAAATTGCATAATATTTTTCTATTCTAAGTATTTTTTTATGAATTAAGTAATATATTAATTAATTTAAATTTAATTTTGAATAATAAACATATTTTTTGTTGTTGAATAAATTTCAAATTTGTATCATTATTAATTAATTTCAAATTTATTTTTATTTATTATTAATATTTCTCACAGATCAATAAAAGTTTTAGAGTATTTGTTGATCGCATTTATCGATTCGCATATTTTGTCCGGTTTTGTTTTATTTTTCGTTTTGCCATTCAAAAAAACTTACGTCGCTGTCGCTGAGTGGAGCGGAGTGGCGCTGCCTTAGCCGCTCACTCTTTATATTTTGAGCAACTGTTTTTAAAAGTCGGTATTTAGTTGTTGTTGTTTTTTTTTCGCTGTTGCTGCTGCTTTTCTGTTTCTGTTTTTGAGTGTTGAGGCTGGTTGGAAATATATATTTTTCCCATTAAGGTTTTTTTTGTAAGGCGCACGCCGAGAACGGCTCAGTCTCGATTGTCAGCTTGTCGTGAATGGTTTTTTAGCACAAGAGTCGCGGCTGCTCGACGGCAACCCAAACAGATCGCGCGCAACTTAGATTAACACAACACCTCAGCAGCAATAATAACAACAACAACAACATATGTATATATATATATATATATAAATATAATATACTATATAACTCGCGACGCTTGTTGTGCGTGTGTATAAGTGTGTGTGCCACTGTATTTAACATTTTGCATAAATCATTTTGAAAGCGTGCGCTTCTGGTTCTAAAGCTGATGCTGATGCTGATCGATTCGATTATGCTATATGTAGGTTAGCCAGCAAGTTTGTTGCCTAAGTCTTTCGTATAACATGCACTGACGCAAAAAGTTCAAAACAATTTACGTAATACGGAACGTGATTTGCTAGACGACATAGACGACAGTCGGTGCGAGATGTCTTTGGCCAACTTCTCGCTGCCTTTCGGCGGGCTTGCGCAGCCCTGGGGCGTTACGCTCGCCCCGCTACATCCCATCCATCAGCTGGCCAGCAATACAAACAATTTGCTTTACTCGCCGGCTGATCATCAACAGCAGCACCATCAGCAGCCGCAACAGCACACACAGCAGCAGCAGCATCCAGAATATTACAAAAATCAGCCATACGGACCGCCAGCGCTGCATCAGCAACAGCAGCAGCAGGAGAATCCTAGTTATCCATATGGCAGCAGACGCAAGCAAGGCACCGCCTACTTGCCGCCCACTGGCGCCTCGCGCAACTCTGTCTACCACATACAACAGCAGCAGCAACAGCATTCGGCGCAGTCGTCGAGCCAAGCTCAGCTGGAGACCAATGATAACAGCGTCTCATTCCAGAGCAGCAGCAGCGCCGCGCAAAGCCATAGCCAGAGCCAGAGCCAGCTGACGCAGTCGGCAGGCCGTGGCCCAGCTGAGGGCTCCTATTCGCGCTATCCAGGCCAGGCGCCCGCTGTCAAGCAGAAGCAGTACTACAACGTGCATGGCACCGCCAGTGCCAGCGCCACCTTCAGCAAGAACAGCGGCAGCTTTAGTATTACAGGCTTTGGCAATAGGCAGCAGCAGCAGCAGCCGTCCAACGCGCAGCCACAGTCTCAGCAGCCGCCGAACTCGAATCCTCAGCAACCACCGCCTCAGCCGGTGCAGCGTGGCAGGCAGCCTGACAAAACGGAAACACCTGCTGCCACATATGGCGTGGCGCCGCCTCCACCTGACAACTATCCGGAACGTGCGCCTGGCTTTACGCGAGTTCAAGCCGGTCAGGGTTCCAGGACGCAGGTGCATGCGGTGCTTGACTACGACGTGGAGGAGGGCGAGGAGGAGGAGGAGGATGAGGACGGCGATGAGAGCGAGTACTATGATGGCGAAACGCAGGATAAAGGTGTGTAAACAAATATTACGGATAGGCAAATTTCTACTACACTGAGGGAAAAAATGTATAGGGAAACAAATTTTACTCTATGAGAACTTAGGCTATTACAAAAAGAAATTGTAAGAGTAAGAATATGAAGAATTAAGAATATGAAGAATTCGCAGTTTTGCAGCTCTGGAAAAGGATTTGAAATTTATGAATAATATAGTATAAATGTGTGCATAAATAATATATATGTCATTTAATTTAAATATATATAAATATATCTTATATATCTAATATATATATAATTTTTTTTTCCGGCTGTCCGTTTGTGTTTATAAACGTAAACCATTTCATGTATTAGATATTCTAAAATTGGAAAATATATTCATTCGTGCATACGCTTAGTTTATCAAGTGTTAGCATTTCTCCCATACGTCCACTGGAGGTGTGGCAAATCAGGAAATACTAGATTTTCTGTAAATATTAATGCCCAGATTTAAGACTACTTGAAAGAGAGATGAATTAAAATCTCCAACTTTTGTAGTGGATCACTTTTGACCTCATCCCCAGATATACCTACAAGTTCTACAGGTTGCCTATTTAATAATATACGTTTTATGTTTGTTATAGTATCTAAAACATATATCATATATCATGCAGTGCGCTGCAGCTAATTCTTGAAAAATAAATTAACTTGGAATTATATTTTTTAATTGTGGTTTAGATTTATTTCTTATCTTAACAAAGAAATAAATTAAGTTGGGAATTTATAGAATTCTAAACATTATTTTTATTTAAAATTTAGCAATGTGAATTAACTAGGAAATAGATGGGATGCAATGCGGAAATGGCATATATATGAAGATATATGTATATGTATAGCAAATTATAATGCAATGCAAAAAGTAAATGTGTAGCTATTTAGTGAATCATGTGGATTACTCCTTCTATTTCTCTCTCTATCTCTATCTACCAATTGCTCTTTCCCTCTGTCTGTCCTTTTCTTTGTCTATCTCTCTCTCTCTCTCTCTCTCTCTCTCTCTCTCTCTGTCCAAATCTTCCTCTCTTCTCTGTATCACCCCCATCAACAATTCTCCTGTCTCTTTCTTTCTCTCCATAAACCTTCTCTCTCTCTGTTGTTATCTCTGTCTCATATAACCTTTTCCCTCTCTTTTTCTTTGTATCCATTTGGCTCTCCTTCACCTGCTCACCTTCTATCACGTTTGCACCTGATTCCCCAAAATTTATGCTAATTGTTGATGTTTCTGTTTCTATTTTACTGTTGTTGTTGCTTTTGTGTACTTTTTATCGTACTTTTCGGCTTGTTTGTTAGTTCGCATAGTTGTTTTGGTTGTGTGTATTTGATTTTTGTGTATCTTTCCAATTGAGAGCAACTTCTGCACTGTTGGACAACAACAGTAACCAGAACAACAACAACAACAGCAACAGTAACAAATGAGAAATAAATACAACTACTAAACAAGTAGACGTAGCAAGGTCAAAGGTCTACAAACCGCTCAAACAAGGTCGCCTTTGGGACAGTAAATGGTCAGTGTTTGACTTTTATAGCTGTCGCTGACTAACACACGATTTATATAGCAGCCAAAGCTCTTCTTTTTTTTATGGTATTTTTTCTTTCCCAAAACGTAGATGATTACGCACACTTATGCGTGTGAGTGTGTGTGTGTGTATGCGGCTCTTCAACTAGACATTTAGTTGCCCTCTCAATGAAGCAGAAAATAAAAACTGTCAGCGCATTTGATAATTCACTTTTAGTTTTGTTTCATGTCTTTTGTGTTTTCGCGTGGCGCCTCTTTGTTTGAGCTACATTTTGTGGCAACAGTCTGAACAGGCTCAAGTGACTGACTGAGCTTATACTTATGTATATACTCATATGTGCGTGTGTGTGTGTGTGTGTGTGTGAGTACGTGTATGTGGGTATTATTATTATGCAAGAAGTCGGGCCCCATTCAACAGCTCTCGACTTGTCTTAAATGACGACGAAGACGTGCACACGCGAGATCACATACAGACGCACACGCACATATATAAGTATATACACATGTGTATCATGCATAAGATCAAGTACATATACATATATATGCATATATGTGTATATAGTTGCATTGTTTAAGATGAGTTTTTTGGGGGGTTTTCACCTTTGTAAAAAAACGAGTTCAACTCGTAATTGTAACGGCAACAGTTGCGAAGTAGTTGCAACAACAAAAACAATAACAGCAACGACAACACAAACAACAACTGCAGTCAAATTCTATGCGCACTTCGCATAAATCCTTTCCCTGCATTACATACGCATGAAAAAGGGAAAGGGAAAGTTCATGCCCAGTTCACGCATTATGCGCAGATCCGTTTTATCCATTACAAATGCTGTGCAGCATGTTCACTTTTCTTTTTCTGCTCCTTCTTCTTCTCTGTTTTGCACTTTTGTGCACTTTTATATACATATTTATATAGTATATGTGTCAACTGCAGCTCGATTTGTATGCAGCACTGCAGTTATTTGCACTATTTCGCATTTCAACTTCAGCTTGGGGTTTTTTCTTGCATTTACATTTTAAAATATTTCCTTTTGTTTTGTTGCAGATAAATCGCATAAAAGCCCAATGCCAACCGTGACACCCATACAGGGTCCGATCTTTTTGAAGAATGGCAGCGTGCCGGTTGTGCCATTATTTTCCTATCCCAAGTCGAACAATGGCAGCTTCTTGCAGATTCCGGTAAGTAAATAAAGCAAACAAAATAACAAAAATAACTTACAAATGAATAATAAAATCATGTTATGCATACTTAATGTGGTATTAAATATAGTAAAAGAAAATATTTTCTTAAAAAAGAGTCAAAAATTATATTATCTTTAAATAATATCATTCTTATAAATTTCTCTTGAGGCATTCGAGAAAAGAAATCTTACTATATGTAAGAAAATTTAAAAATTTCTAAACATATTTTCTCATAGGAACTGAGGGAGAATAATTATTCAATATCGTATTATATCATATGACAGTTATAGATATTATCTTGAATTAGCTGAAATTTGTAGTTCACATTTAAAATAATTAAGACTCAATCAATAATCATAAAATATGCATATCCAACAACAAACAATGTTATGAAATATTAATAAAAAGTTGGCAAGATGATACATTGATTAACATAATAGTTTCTTAATTTATTTTAGCAAATTCCATCATTTTCATATTTTCTTGATATATGCATTATTTGAAACAAAAGTTGTAATTTGATTTTTGAAAATGGTAAAAGCTCTGCCGATATAGATCACATTTTATTGATCACATTTTAAATGCAAAAGTAAACTAGTTGATTTAGAATACAACTAAATAAATTTAAAATCCATCATAAAATATGACTACCCATCACATTATACAAATCCTGTCAAGATATCGCATCATTTGGCAACATTCTCTTAAATCCCAATAAGTACTCCCCAACCACCGTTTGAATGCCAATACAAAACAAAAAATACTTTACTCATGCTATAACGGAAAAGAGAATTTCGCAAAACTGATCGTATCATATCAGTTATATCATTATTTGCTTCAATTCCGGCAAGTACACCCCCTCCATTAATGAAAAAAAAAATAAAAAATAAAATAAAATAAATAAAAGAACGAAAAAAGTCTTAAGTCAAATTTTAAAACGGACACGCGCGCGTGTTTTCCGAAACTTTGCTTTGCGATTACGGCTTTAGGAATAAGTAACAAAGTATATCGATCGAGTTTGCTCATTTGCGGAAATAACTTTGACGATCTTTGGCGAGTTTGTGCGAGAGTTTGTGTTGTTGTTGCTGTTGCTCTTTATGTTGTTTTTGGCGCACGAAGGTCGCGCGAGTTCGTTTCGTTAAGAGGTGTGATGATAATCATGAACCGTCCAGCTGCTAAGAGACTCTCTGATACTCTAAGATTTCGGATCGTTCGACAATTAAATGAAATTTTTGGTTTTTTTAATGTCTTTGAGTCATTTCATTTTCACACCCTGCCATAAATTTTGTTATAGGCCGTCGATGTCAATGTCACTCCATCACTCACTCTCCCTCTCTCTCTCTCTCTTTCTATGTCTCTCTTTAGATCTGGTGGACGGCGCTCTCCGTTGCGCTCGGCCTGGATGTTCGAGGCGATGTCATCAAGGGCGTGCCCTGCATCAAGCGTTATCATCAGCTGTTTTGCCCCACAGCAGGCAACAGCTATCCCATGTGAGTATCTGAACAATCAGCATATAGCCATAAATTATCATAAAACTTAACCTTCCAGAGTGGAAAAGAAAAATGTTGTGGTTTTTCTTAGCTTTGATTATGTATGATTCATATTTTCTTTTGTCTTTTTGTGAAATACATTTTGACGTCTCAGCTTGAGTTGCTAAAATAGTTTGAAATGCGCATAGAATTATATTTAATTATTTTTATTAACAATTTTTAGCAAGTTTTTACGTTCATCTCAAGGAAATATTTATGACAATTACTCATAGCTTGGCTAAAGACCGACTAGAACCTATTCAAAGTTCGTTCAACTGAGCGGCGACTGGAAAATTTTTTACTCTAACGAACTTTAAATACACTTGAGGCTATAGAAGTTATATTAGTTGGATTTAATTCCTTGACCGATTCTTCATATGGAGAACATTATATAATATAGGTGCATTTTATATGTAGCAAACCGATGTGAGAAAGAAGGAAAATGAAGCTGTCAAGATAGTCTTCATTAGTAACAAGCAGAATAGTAAACTAAACTTATCTAAATGCTTCTCTCTCACTCCTCTAGCGATAAAATTGAACGATTCATAGACGACAACAAGGCGCTGATGCGTCGCATGTACGGCGACTTCGAGATGAATATGGAAGGTGGTGGTGGCGGTGGTTCAGGTGGGCAAGCCAAGGTGCGCAAGCGACGCTTCATAGACGAGCCGGATATATTCATACCACCTGGCGCGTATGCGGCTACAGCAGGTGAAGCCGGCGACAGTTACTTTGGCGAGCTGCGGAAGAAGCGGCAGGCAGCAGCTGGTGGCAATCGGAATCGAGGAGGCGCTGGAGGTGGGCCAGGTGGGGGTGGCACCAGTAGAGCCAATAATCTGCCCGGCAATGCGAATGGCAATTCGGGCACAGGGCGACTCGATGCATGCGAATCGAAAATTGAAATTGTGACGCCCTATTGGGCCTCGAATTCGGCCGGGAAAATCAGAGCCATTGTGAATACGCAGCACTTCGAGCAGGCCATACACCAGGAGGTGTGCAGGTGCGACAAATAAATAGAGTTCTATATAAATCTGATATATATGTATGTATGTATATGTATATATGTTTCGTCCTTTGTAGCAACACCCAAACGTCACGCTGTGAGGGCGAATGCGGCTGTGAGCAGAAATATAAATGGCACCGTCTGTTGGCCTACGATCCCGATAACGATTGCAAAGGCATTTTTATGGATTGGTTCCTGTTTCCTTCATGCTGTGTCTGCCGCTGCAATCCCTAAATCATATATAGTAAAAGCTGATGATGAGATGAAGAAGAAGAAGAAGAAGAGATAGTGTTTCTTTTGTAGAATGCCACTGAATGTATTTTAGTTGTTCTTAAGTAGATCCTAAAACAATTAAGTTACTCGTAGCGCTTAGTTTAATGTTTAAATTCTTTTTGTACGAGCCATATCCCATCTATATATCATATCGTAATATCCACCTACAGTCTCCATTTTATGTTGTTGTATTTTAAATTGTAATTGTCATTGACGAACGATAAATGAATAAAATTTAAATTCGAAATCAATGCGGAGTAAGGTTATTTCTTTTAATTGATATTTTATTAGTTTTTATTTTCGGTTTTAACTTTTTGAGTTAATGCGATTTTAAAGCTTAAAGCTGACGACTTTATTAAGAAATTTACATATTTGTCATTAAGTCGAAGAAACAATCGATTTCGTTTAATATTTACATTTATTTATATTATTTCATGTTTATGTTCGAGGAGCCTGGATGGATTTCCTTGATATTATATAATATTCCGGAAATAAATCTTTCCGTTTTTAGCAGATTCTCATTTTATATAAATGTACAGATGTACCAGTGAACGATTGTACCAATGTACCAATGCATCATCAATAATAATAGTCCTATGTAGAAGAAGTGTTATTCCTGTGGATTTCATTTATATCAATTGATATTTTTTTAAATCAAAATCAATAGTTTCCTTGAAAGTGGGGAAGAGAGAGATTTGTAATGAATTTATTTCAGTTAATCTGTATAAACTTAAAATTTCCAAAACAATTCTAAATGAATATCGTGGCATATTTACTTTGTATGTATTTAATCATGTCACATGTAAACTGTCTTAATAAAGCCCATATCATATATTTCATATGCTATATTATCTATCATCCAATAATTTATATACATATATTTACATTTTTAAAAATCAACTTTTCCAGGTAATGAACCATTTAGCCAAGCCCAGCCCAAAGCTACTTTACCGTTACCGTAAGCTTTGCTCCCATTTCATAGCAGCGAGCTTTCAGCCGCGCTGCATACAGCTTCCATTTGATATGAAGCTCAATGGCAACAACAAAAAGCTTTTTCATGAATCACTTTAGCAATTTTGTGGGTCAGAAGCATTTTATTCACTTAAATGCGATGCGAATACCCTTTGCATGTTGTCCTTCTGCATTCCTTCTTAACTGTTTCATAAAACGTTTATGCGACTGCGATTCATAAATACCAGAAAAACCAGAAGAGAAGAAGCCGAGGCAGAAGAAGGCGATGATGAAAATAAAACATATTCATTCCTTGTCTTTCAGCTTCAGGTCGTAAAAATAATCCCTTGGAATTGCAGTTCGCATGCCAGACACGTATTCAATCACAGCAATGGCCACACAAAACAGCGCTATATCAAAAATTTTCGGCTTGGGGAACTTGTAGTCGTGCATGGTATACAAATGGTAACATTTTTATCAGTTTATTTTTTATTTTATTTTTTGTAACCAGCAGCAACAACAACACTTTGAGGAAGTATTGCAAAACATTTGTGTCTGGGCAGTTAGTTAGTGAAGTGGAGATTCACATTATGGACGCCCGCTCGGCAATGTCAACAACTTGCAGCCATGACGACGACGCCGTTGGCAACGACAACAATGAGAACGAGAGTGATACCAACAACACCATCAACGACAACAGCAACCAGGAACATTGCAATGGAGCCCTACCGACTGATTAATACTCGATCGTGGTACACAGTTTGGGCGTGCCATATCATTGAACTATCTATAGAGTAGAGAAGTAGACCAACTCCAATATTGGTAATCTTCTATTGAAAGATATAATATCTCCACGATGTCCCCAGTAGATAAAATCATAAAATGTATGCTATAAAACTGTCGTAGATATTGGGTTGTTCGACGCGTCGCTGCGGATGTAGGTAGCATATATGAGCATAAATTATATAAATAGACAATGGAACAGGTAAACAGTGAAACAAAGTCAAAACTTGTTGATCCATTCTCTTAATATGTGGAATATCTGGTCAATCCATTTTGTGCCTACCAATAAATCAGATGAAAGTAAATCTTTTACAGATTTGATTATAAGATAAGTATGAAATTTCATGTGTTTAGCTTCAATAGTAACTGAGTACATTGCATTACAACCCGAAACGCCTTCTGTATTATAATGTGAACGGGCATCATAATACCTTCAACAACAGCAGCGATTGTGGACTAACCATGAGATTTACTAAGCGAACCCATTTCGCCAGTTTCTCTTCTGTTGGGGCGTGCCAGGCGATATGACGCCCACAGCACATAGACAACGCAGATATGTAAGGGGACGCGAACACACACAATAACAGACTTTCCATGGAATACGCAAATACCATGTCAATGATATGGATGCTGATGTTGCTGCCATTGTTATACCCAGTACTAGAAACTCAATAGCTAGCTGGTATGTCAGCCGGTGAGACAATAATGCCAGGATTTACATAAATCAATAAGTCATCATTAATCAATTCAGCCAATTCATAATCATTCGACTGTTATCAATCCTCAGTCATAATCTATCATTATTTGTCATCAGTCTTGGTCATTGTTTGTCTGTCAACAGTTATTAGTCATTATTCATTACTCATTAATTATTATTCATTACTTCTTAATCATTAGCCATTATTCATTAGTTATTAGTCATGAGCATAATAGTTTACTAATCATCAGTCATCACTTTTCACACATCAGTCATCAGTCATCACTTATCACTCATCCCTCATCACGCATCAGTCATCAATCATGAGTCATTATCTCATCAATTATCATTAATCATTAATCACTCATCACTCATTACTTATCGCTTATTCCTCATCACACATCAGTCATCACTCATCAGTCATCATTCATCACTCATCAGTCATCAGTTATCAGCCATAACTCATCAGTTATTACTCAGCATGCATTCACATTTTGGTATTCTTTCCTTTTATAGGGTATCTGACAATCAAGTAACTTCTTGACAACTTGTTGTTGCCTCTGCGCGCGCACACATTTGTCCTTTAAGCTTAATGCGAAATGCGAAATGTGCAAAAGAATTCGGCATTGGAGACGTGGTCAGAGAAAACGCTAGTCGCATACCCAAACAACAAATGTTAAGTAAGTCGCACGCTTTATGTGTGTGTGAGCATGTTTGTGTGTGTGCCTATATGTGTGTGAGTGTGTGTGTGTGTGGCGCATGTGTAGGACGTCATATCCTGGCAGAAGAAGCACCAACAGCAGAGCTCTGTCATCATGGCCAAATGTGGCACTAAAATCTCAGCCGCTGTCGCCGTTTGCCTATAAATACAAATGTCTGCACGCAGTTTGGCTTAAAGCAACATTGTTATCCTAGTTCGGCGCATCGTGAGGACGAAAGTGGCAAGAAAAAATCCAAATATATATATAACTGAGTAAATATTAGATAATAAACGCACAGGCTCGTGACGCACAGCTAATCCCAGCGGAGTCAGCAACAACAACAACAACAATTATTCGGTGCATTGTGAGTCAGAGTTCAGCCTAATTGGAAATTATAAAACTGCATTCAATCCATTCTGATTAGTTGTTAATAATATTTAAGCTGGTTAAAAGCTGTGCAGCATTTTTAATTTTTTGGTGGAAAGTTTTGTGGGTATATTAGCTTAGTGAAGTGACTAATTTTCTATTTAATAATAAATAAATAAATAAATTATATACAAATAACGAAATTATATTTAAGCAAAGTTTTTATTAATGTAGAAATGAAAATGTAGATATAAGGACCTGTGATGCCTAAATGTGCTCATATTTTTAATAAATTTATAAAATGCTGATATATCTGTTACATATTTATGACAGGGTATAAATGGAGAAATTGTATTCATATCTAAAGCATTACAAATATTTGGATTTAACATTTTGATTTTGATATACAATATATATACATATGTATATGTACATATAACAGACGTCACACAGAAAGAGAAAGAGTTAGATAGAAAGAGAGAGATTGAGAGGATACGAGAAACTCGATCAGTTTTTAGTAGAAACTTAACCGTTTCATTAACCTTGTCGAATATAGAGTATTAGGCAGTCTGGTAAAGTATGATTCTAGCTTGTTTTTCAGCTGCCAGCAAATCCTTTGAGCCTCTGGCAAAATATAATTTACACAGCTTTTTCTCCATTCTCTGTACATGCAGCAACAAAGCCAACTCACCTGCAACCGCACCTGTAACCACAACAACAACGCCCACATAATGACCCTAACTGCAACCAGGAATCAGGCTCCATCTGCTTCTCTATCTTCATCTCCATCTCCATCTGCAACTGCGATGCCTTCTCCGAGGCTGCAATCGTCGCCGTCTCTGTCGCTGTCGCTGCCGATGCCTCTGCTGCTGTCGCTGATGCTGCTGCTGCTCCTGTTGGTGCCGCCGCAGCCTTGCGAGAGCCGATACCTGCCGACAAGGTCGCATGGCGACGAACTGGATAAGTTGCGTGAGCTGATGCTTCAGGTAGGTAACCACCAGCAACCGAGCACTCTGCACCCTTTTGCAAGTGAATAGCCTGTTGAAAGACCATTGTTAATGCGCATTAGTGTGAGGGAGATTGGGAGAGAGTGTGCGCTGTGTGTGTGTGTGTGTGTATGTGTGTGAATTAAACTCATATAGCATACTCTATATTTTGGAAATGGTGATTATACGATATTATTATGACTCTGAGCAAGCAAAGCCTGTTTATCTCATTATGCTGTAGATATAAGTTGTACAAATTAGTTACGATTCGAGGATGAAGTATATATGACGTAGTTGTGGATAAAAAATAAAAAATGTTTATTTTACAATTTTTTAACTTTCTTAATGCCAACGAAGATTAAATTAATGGCGAACATGATATCCCATGGCATAGCCGTCAGTGGAGTAATACGTATCTGGCTTACAAATATATTTCGTATTTTAGAGAGAACTTTGGTTTATTTTATTTTATTTATTTATTATTATTTTTTTTTTTTTTTTTTTGCCTTTTAATATATAATAATAAAAATTATGATATCTCAATCTAGATGCACTGAAAATGCAAATATTTGCTTGTGTCACAGATATTAAGTTTATATTAAATTTATATATATGAGATATATTATATATAAGAATTAAATTAATAAAAAAATATTTGACATGTATAATATTATTTTAGAATTATTTTCAAATTTATTTATATAAAATATTTTTATATTTTTCTTATTTTTTATGTAGATTATTACAATTCGATTTATATGCATATGCATATATATAGTATATTAGTTAGGGCATTTCAACTTCGACTTATTAAACTGTTCTTTCTGCATTTTTTTTGTTTTTCATTTACTTTTCTTGCTCTTCTTTTTGGTATGTTATTTGTATGTTGTTGTTGTTATTGTCGGTTGGATATTTTTGTCGATATAATTAACTAAATGAAAAGAGTCAAAAGCGTGGTATTAAGTTGCAATTATGTCGCCAATTATTGGGGTTTTATTTTTCAATGTGTTTTTGTTTTTGTTGTTGTTGTTATTGCTTTTGTTTTGGTTTCGACGGATCGGTCAGAGCTGTTGCGGGTTACCCATTTTTCGGTTGCGTCATGCGCCCAATCAATGACTCCAGATAGGGTTACCCGAAAGAAAGAAAAACAACAAAAAATGCAGAGCTCCTGAGCAGCTCAGGTATTTTTGACTGTTGTTGTTATTGTTGTTGTTGGACTCGTTATTGTTGTTATTGTTTTAGCTGCGTCTGCAAAAGCGTTTCACAAATATTTTACATCTTTCGCAAGCAGTTGTTGTTGTTGGTCATCTTTACGTTGCAAGCTCAGCACAGCAGCTACAACAACAACAACAACAACAAGTGCTGCTGCTGCTAACTGACTGAGCCTGCCCGGCTACAATCGCCAACCTGCTGAGCTACAAGCTCTCATCTTTGCCAACCTGACCAAACATTTATATTTAAAAAAAAAAAAACCTAAATTCCTCTGTTTCGGCTTCTTCTTCTTCTTCTGTGTTATTATTATTATTATTATTATTTTTTTTTTTTTGTTGCTTGCCAAGTTTCCTGTTCTTTTTCGCAACAGCCGCAGCACAAAAATGCTGCTCAACCAGGAGGGGGGCCAATTTTTAATGGATGCTTCACATCATTTCTGCCACTCGATTTTCAGACGCAGCTGCAACTGTGCCCCAGCAACTGCGACTGCGACTGCAACTGCAACTGCAACAGAAACTGCAACTGTGCAACGGCAACTATTTAGTTGACTTCTCAGTGTTTATGTGTAGCATCTTGGCAACTTCAGCTGAAAGCCTTGAAGCCGCACTGTCTATGCTTTTGATGAGCTCCGTCTATGTGCTTGTCCTTGAGTCTAGCTCTGAATTGGTCTTTAGGTCTGAGTTGGCTTGTTGGCTCTGTTTTTAGCAACTGTCTGCAGGTCATCAGTGCTCTAAATGGAGCTGCTTAAAGTGATGTTATTTTAATTTGCCTCCAGGTCATGTAGAGTGCCTTCTGATGAATGTACATATATAGTCATATAGGTCAACAAATGGGTCTGTATTGTGGGTTGCTTTTTGAAATGTTCTTAGGTTGTCTGGTCTGCCTTGGCATGACTGTAGGCTCAAAAGTTTATTGAATTTTTTGACACTACGATTAACATTTAATTTCAGCTGTAGTCTGCTCTGCAAGATGTCTGTAAATAGCAGGGCATCGTGATGGGCCTGGCTTTAGAATGTTTATATAGTCAGTCAGTTCGTATGTCCATAACTCAATTTAGTTCTTTATATATCACTAAAGTTTCTTTGAATTGTCTGTTGATTTAGTTGAAAGTCTACGCATAGGGTAATAGAGGAACGTAGAATTAATTTCAAAGCTCTGTGTTACTCTTAGGCCCTCTCTCAAATTTATCCATGGAATTATCTGTAACTGTCTAAGCAAGCTTAAGGTCTACTAAGAGCCCAGTGTACGTTGTGTATAAGGTCATTAAGATGCCGCTTAGTCTCGTCAGGAGACTAGTCTGCCGTCTACTATTGTCTGAAGCTAGTCTGGAGTCGCTAAGTCTACGCCGGAGTCTAGTCTGGAGTCGCTTAGCCTAGTCTACAGTATTACCTCTCACGAACCTCGTCAGGCTTTTTAAAAACTGTCTGTCTCACACTTTTGCTGATGGTTCTTTTGAAGCATCATCTTACATCTACATCTAGATAGCTATATATAGAACATATAGTGTATATATACATGTTCCATATATACATTATTATATGTATATTCTTTATTTAGCCTTTATAGTAGTTTATCATATCATTTTCTATGATTCTGTAAAGCTGTCTCTCACCACGCTTTCTATACAGCTAGCTGTCATCTCTTTCATAAGCTGGCCCCACTCCCAATGGTTTCTCTGTTGGCATTACACTCTATCTAATTACATCTCTCAATATAATTGCCTCAATTTCATTTGTATCCGTACTTGTTGCCACATGTGAATCGAACTGCTGGAACAGCTTCATTCATTCATGCAACTGTGTGGGACTCAAGGTCAATTCCAATATTTTTATGACTTTATTTATGGCTGGAATACATTGCTTTTATGTTCCTTTAGTTCAGCTCACAGTCTGTCTCTGTCCAATCCTCTCTCTCTCTTTCTTGCTGTTGCTCTGGGGTGTGAGCCCGTCTCATGCTCTGCCTCTATCTCTGGCTGTTGTCTGTGCTTTGCAATTTGAGTTGGCGTCTCTGCATTTGAGTCTCTGACTCATGGCAGGGCCCTTGCGAATCGATAAGCCGCTGACGTGAGACGCGCACAAAGTGATTTTGGCCAAGCGGCACAAAGAGCCAACAAGACAACAGGCTAAAAGAAAAAAAACTACAAAAAAAGCCGAAGAAGAAGGAGAAGAATGGTAAAAATAACATAAACGGCGAAATGAAATAAAATGTAGCAAAACGTGAAGGGAAAATCAAATGTCAAATAGCAAAAAAAAGAAAGACAAAATGTTGAGAAGATGACGTCGCTGAGCTGAGGCTGTCTGTGTGTCTGGGGTCGGTCGCTTGATGAAGGTTGACTTTGACTTTGTCGACGTCACGCAGAAAATAATATATAAAGGAAATTCCACTTGTCTGCCGAAGCGTAATGCATTGAACCTGCAGATCGTGAGTTGGCAAAGAGCTCAGCTTATGTTTAATTAGCCTTCGCCTGTCACTCGCGACACGAGACTTCACTTGCACCGGGAACTGTAAATACAACAAACAATTCCCTGTCGCACTTACTATATGAAATGTTAACTACCAAACCCCAATGTCAAAATGTTATTGGGGGTACTTAAATACTGCTAAGAGGCATGAAAGTAATTTGAAATGGATTAGTGCTTGAAATAGGGGTGGCTCGTAAAGCCAAAGGATGCCTGGGCTCTCAGCTTTTCTCAAAATCTGTTTCAGAGACATATAAAAAAATAATCGTACATCTATCTCCAGCAAAAAAAAAAGTATTTAAGGCATTTTTAAGCTCACTCAGCCTCCGCCAAAAATCACAAAGAGCAGCAACTGATTAGGCCCATGTCTAAAAATAAAATTGACCACGAAACGTAATAATACACACAAACAAATAATTATAAATACACATAATAATATAAATTATTAATTTTAAAAATAAATTAAGCCACATCTAAGGTCAGGCGTGCGAAATAATAATAGTAACAAAAAATGCGCTTGATTTTTTAGGGGGGAGAAAAAAAGAAAAATATTTGTGCCGCGATGATTCGATGGAATTTCACATGTTAAATAACAAAATAAAAAAAACTTCATGGTAAATTTAATGATAAATTTTGAAGTAAACAATTTGTTTATAGTCGGCCTTAAAGGCACTCCGTATTCATTTGTGTTGGCATTCAACGGCGTAATATTATCGTTAGTCTTTAAATTAATTTAATCTTTGGTATTTTAATTATTAGTCTTAGAGTTCATATAATATATAATAAATTATATAATATTGGGCTGAAACAACTGAAGTCAAATGCAAGGCAAAGTTATCTGATATTGGCCGTTCGAGTCCCTTAGAGAATCTCTAGGTTTTAGCTTAAGGGAAAGCAATTGTATAATATGTCTAAATATTAAATACCTCAGCTTATCATTTAAGGATCTGTTATAATTACTAATATTTCTTTTACTTTTACTAGTATTACTATTACCAATACTTATTACTATTACTTTTATCACAAGATTAATGATTGCTATCATTAATTTGATGGCTAGCCTATTGATTGTTAATCGTTTAGCTCAATATTTAACAACATTTATTTGGCAAACGTGTGGCTGAGCCATTAAGACTGTGACTGTGGCAGCTACAGAAATTGGGGTTGCAACATCTACAGCTGCCCCTTTCCTCCTCATCGACGATACCTTAGCGAAAACCAACAATGACGACAATCGCTGAGACCCTTATCCAATCACATAACTTTGCACTTAACGGCAACTCTCAAATTAAACTGTCCAAATGTGAGGATGCTGAATGAAGAGGCATGGGAGGAGGAGGAGTGGAGAGGGCATATGACAGACCCTGCTAACTGCGATGCTATGCGATAATAACGATGGTCGCTTCCTTATACGATATATATCTCTCGACTTTGAAGCACACAGCTGCAATGGCTGCAGTTCGCAGTTATTAAAAACAAAGGGGCGTCCATTAGCGCAACAGAGATGCCATCAGTATGAGGGAGAGAAAGAGAGAGGGGGGGCTGAGATGGGGAGAGAGGCGCAGAGGCAGAGGGAGAGGGAGAAAGACACACACTATGTTTTAAATTAGCAATAACATAATTACCTGGCGCAAAATTGTTTTAAGGTATTTCTCGTCGCTTATTTATTTTTCTTCTGATGTTCACACATCGTTCGCCAAAAAGTGAGGCGATGAAGAAAAAACAAAAGAGTTGGGAGGCGACAGAAAAAGAGGTTACCGTCTGATAATTACACGACAATACCCCCCATTAACACATTTTCAGTCAGCGCTCGGCGCACAGCTTCGCGCCTCACTCTGAACCTCACACTGAGCACCGGGTGTAGAGCCTCAGCTGCAGCAACAGCAGCAGCAGCAGCAGCGACAGCGACAGCGTTACAGATGATATGAATAAAGTTCATTTGATTTAATGAACCGCCAAAAAAAAAAAACATAAACAAAAAAAAGCATCTTGTGACCGTGCTTCCCACACACATAGCCTACCTCTACGATCATAATACAGGCTACACTGAGAGAAATGCTTAAGAATCAAGAGAAATGATTAAGAATCTGCAAATTTTCTTTAAGCAAAATATGAAAATTTATGAAATCAATTTTTTAATCTTAAGCAAAATAAAATTTTTTAAAATTATTAAGAATATTTTTAAAGTTTAAAAATATGTCAACTCAACCATTTTTTGTCTCTGTCTCTGAACTTTTCTCTATATGCCTTTTTGCTAATCTCAAAATCTAGCGAATTCTTCATATCAAATTGCTGATAAAAACGTGTCCAAATTTCGCACTGTGTAAGATTTCAACAGATTTTTTGAAATAGCTAACAAACTAACAAACTCCGCTCACAAATTTCATGTAGGCTACAACAGCAACAATTACAACAACAATAATAATGATAATAATAACAACCATAACAACAATAACAAACTAGCAACAACAATTGTAAGTCTAACTCTTTTTGTTTGCAGATTTTGGAGTTGAGCAATGAGGATCCACAACAACAACAACAACAACAGCCACACCAAATGCGTCTGCACAATGAGGCCAACAATCCGCTGACCGCTCAGCGTGGCAGCAACAGCGGCAGCAGCGCCAATGCCGCCTGGCTCCAGAAATTGGGTGCTATGGGCGCACTCGATACGGACGCCGGCTATGGGCGCTACTAAAGATGAAACACCAAAATCCCAACCAACCATGACGACCCCCCATAAAATTATAGAAAAACGAAACTAGGAATGTAAACGAAAAACATATTTGAAATGCCTAAAGCCTATTTTAATTACACAAATCTGAGATAACTAGTTCCAAAATTACACAGATTACAAATTGAGCTTTACATCTTAACTACTTGAAGTCAAAATTTATATGAGTCGAAAACCCTTATTTGAAACTTTTTTTTATAAATAAGCAAATCAGAGAACAAGTTCTTGAATTGAAAGAATCGAATTCAAATTGTTATAGAAACTGCTCATTTGAAATGCGAAAATTGTTGTATATTAGAAAAAAGTCAGAGAAAACTAGTTCCGAAATAGAACATATTTTAAAAGTGAAGAACCTCGAAAAAGAGCATAAGAGAGGACTAGTTCTGTAACTGAACAAAATTAAAAAGTACCATCGAAACTCAATTGAAATGCTAAGTACTTGGAACTGTTAACTAACTTAGAGTTAACTTTTTAAACAAATTAAAACTTTTCATAATTAGGAAGCAAAAATCATCATTTAAAAAAAATTATTATTTGCAATCAATACATTAAAATATTTAGCTTACTACAAAACTAAGCTACATATAAAGAAACTAATTCCAAAAGTTCATTTAAACTGACAAAATCTTTTTTTTTTGTAGCAAATGGAATTAATAGTTCCATATTAATTTATTACCAGTTCTCATTAGAATCGTTCTTAAGGAACTCTTAAAAGCTCTAAACTGGTTCGACAATATATCAAGAATGGACTTTACTCAAGTTCAATGTAAAGCAAAAAATTTTACAAGTCAATTCTAACTAACAAAACTAACAAACTAATCAAATTTGAGATGGATTTAATGAGTTAGGGCATTTCAAATATTTTTTGCTTTGCTTTTTGCATTCCGTAAGCAAACACTCAATGGTTTTAAATACTAAACTCAAAAGAACTTTAACAGTTCCTATATAAGAACAATAATTTTTAAACTTTTACGACTAGACAAAAAGCAACAAAAAAAAAAAAAAAAAAAAATATATGTACTATAAATATATATATATACATACAATGAGTTAACTTGTAATCAAAAATTATACCATATATATATGTATATTATACTTTATATACACATAGATATTTCTGTATACATATGTAGTTCCTAAAACTTTGTTTTGTGGCTGCCAGATTCTGTTGCATTGTTAGTTAAAAGAAGAAGAGTCAATTGTAAATATGTAATACCCGTCCCTGAAAGCATAAACCTGCGTGTTTTTCTTCTTATTCATACATTTTACATTGTTTTAATGGGCCTCAAGGCTGGGCAAATAAATATAAATTATGAGCATATTACAAGCGAGTGCCACAAGTTTAAATCTCTGCTGCTTACATTTTTGTGCTCGACTCTGGCCTCCAAGTTGAATTTTATGGCGCCATATACCCTATATTATATATATATGAATTTATATATATATATGTGTGTGGGCAATGCAGCTCGGTTTATATAATTGTTACCTTTAAACGTATATTACCTTATGATCAAAAACAATAAAAGAAATCATTTTCAATGCAAGGCCTCTGCACATTTATTTTTCATTTTCAGTTATTGTTAATTAGATCTACTGATAGAGCGTTGCATCAGACAGAAGCTGGAAAAACGCTCGCTTATGCAATACAAAACACGCACTCCCGATTTGTATCTAATAGTTACAGATACAAATAGTTTTACTGCCGGACAAATTGAAAAACGCGCGAGAGTGTGGGGAGTGCTCGACTAGCAGATACTGTGAACGTATCCATAACGAGACATGACACACGCGCATGCATTCCCTCTTACATGGACCTCACACAAACAAACACTGATCTCAGAAGTCCATACACAAAATTAGGCATTATTTTTTGTTGTCTTCATTTTTTGAAGTCTTCAAGAGATGCTTTAAAAATCGATATTTATCGGTAACTATAACACGAGTTATACAGAAACAAATATAAATATTACATTGGCCACTGCATCTGGGAATATATATTTAAAAGCTGAAGTCTCTAGCTTCTTTACTTTACGAGATACGACGGACAGGTCAATTTTGAAATAGATGAAATTTCATGGACATAGCTCCATTGAGATATTCTTGATCAGTGTACTGCCTTTACATAGCTTTCAGCCACACCTCCTTCCACCTACTTGCATTTCTTCACAAGTCGAATACACCCCATTTACTCATCTCTAAATTGCTTTAGGGTATTGGAGAAAAAAAATGTAGAAAGAAAAAAAAACGGAATTTACTTTCTTTGTGCCCCGTTCAAGTGCAACACTTGACAAATTAAAAACTAACAAGTGGCGATTGCCAGACCCAGTTAACCCAGAGCCGAGCCCATCAGATACAGATACAGCTGAAGATACAGCTAAAAGATACAGATACTTTGCCTTTCTGTGTCAGCGTTGCGTCTGCACAAGTGCCCACGCCAAGTGAGCCAAAGTTCCGTTGCCTGTCGTCGACATTTCTGTTTTGTAAACGCATTTTAATTGCTTTTCGCTGCTTTTTATGTAAATACAATATTATTTAAATGGTCTTTGACTTCATTCATTTCGAGCTATATATAAATACATGCACGTATATCTCTATATATACATATTTGCCTGTTACATAAAGTCACAAAAAGATACTTAATAATAATTAGTATGTGTGCATGGCTGAGGTGTTGATGGAGATGATGCCATGCCGCCGCATGGCTCTGCAATGGTGAAAGCAGAAAGATTTCAGATGAAATATGATTTTGCCAGCTGCTCTCACAGCTCAGAATCATGGGGCTTGACATGCTATCACGGTCTGCTATTGAAGAGAGCTATTATGAAAGTGGTTGGAAAATTATGTAAAAGAACTAATTAAAGTCAGGTATAATTGAGTTGAGAAAGAGATATGCATAGATGAAGATGTAGAATTGTTAGCATTGATTTTGATATAATCATAAATATGATAATAAAGGCATAGATTATACAGTATTACCTTGTGTCTCTTAGCCTCATTTTCTCGTTCTCTAAGCATTACTGTCTCTTCCTTTCGGTTTCTTACTTTTTTTCCTTGTTGTGTTACATCTAATTCTCTGGCTATTCCTCACGTTCTATCCCTCTCTTTTCTGTATCAATCATTATCTCTGTTTCATTCACCATTTATCCTAGCAGACAACACATTTTGTATTCCTAGTCATTTGTCCCCTTCACTCACTATTCATCTCACTTATCTTCCCATCTTATCCACTCGTGTTTATTTATTGTAAACATTCAATTAACATTTGCTCTTATCTTATGTATTTACAACATCGTTTACACCGAATCATATATCTATATAGACAGAATTTCCATTTAAAAATTCGACAATCCATTAATTTGAGTATCAACGTTGTTGCTTAATCGATGTTGATTTTTATTTTTCCTTTTTCTTTTGAAGCCTGCACCTGTTTTGGACACCCAGCAGCAATCGTTGCAATGAAGATGAAAATGATAATGATGATGATGATGAGAGATGGGAGACGGGACACGGGAGCAGGGAGCTGGCAGATGAGAGATGAGCTGAGCTGAGCTGGAAATTGAGGAAATGCGATGCGCTGCGATGCGATGTGCTGCGAGGCTCAAAATGAACAGCAAAATCAACAGGCGAAAAATAACAACAACAACAAAAGTAGAAGCAGATGGAAAGGCGAAGCACTTGCCATTTGGCTAACGGCATTATAAATGATGCCGCCGTGAAAAAGTGACAGTTAGCGCACAGTTACAGTTGCAGCTACATGGCCCATGCTCCATGCCACATGCCACATGCCACATGCCCCAAGCCTCGTTACTAACCAAGCTCTGCAGGCAGCGAGCGATTCTCCAAAAATCGAATTCCGGCAGTAGCAAAATGAAAAAACTTGGCCCAAAGTTTCCACAAAAACAAAAACCCAAAACAAACTCTCATACAGGAGTGTTTGGTATTCGAACTACACTGTCATTTATTGATTATGCGCATCTCAATTTGAGGCAACACCTCGAGCGGGAACGGGAGCGGTAACTGGAGTCGGCGTCCCCCGATCGAGATTGCATGATGATCGTGACAGGGGCAAAATAAAAGAAAAGTCGCCAATAACGAAACATGGCTAATCATATTTTTCGTTCATTTTAATAGGTAGTACGACTGCAAATAATGTCATTGCCGAAATTATTGAAAGAGCCAAAGGAAAGGAGACGAGCAAAAATAAAATAAAATATATATATTATGTATATAAATAACTGAAAGAAAATCATAGTCAACTGCTATTGCATTATGGCCGAAAAATGGAAATGAAGATGGAGCTGGGCGATGGTAGAGCTAAAGCCAAAGCTAACTGATCGTAACCCAACAAGACCGTGAAGCTCATAATGAACATTGCACAAGACAGAGAGAGAGAGAGAGTGAGAGAGGGAGGGAATGGGAGTAAGCGAGAGAGAGAGAGAGAGAGATTGAGTGTGTTTCTCTGTGAGACATGAAGAAATGTGAAATAAGACCAAGCCACAGTCCAGTTCCAGTTCCAGTTCCAGTTGACTCCAGATCGAAGACAAAGCTTCTGCTCCTCCTCCCTTACTCCTCTTACCCACATTTCGCAGCGTATGCATTGAAATTGAAAGTGAATCGTGCCACACGATCCGAACAACCAGATGATGATGCGATCCTCCAGACCGAACAAAATCATCAAAACAACAATAATGTAACAAACACAAACAAGCGAAAACAAACACAAAACTAAAACAAAGAAACCACTAAAACAATATTAAACCAAGAAGTAACGCGTAAAATTGCTGTAACCAGCGTGCAGAATTTTTAATACACTATCAATTGAGTGGTTTCTTTTTGGGGAGCTTGGAGAAAGAGATGCGCTTTGAATTGTATATAATTTGGCGATTGAATTTCCTAAGCTCTTGTATTTACCATAAAGTCAACGATTTAAACTCTATCTCTGTCTCTGTCTCGAGCCGGCAAATTTTTGTTATACTAAATATTTTTAGAAATTACACATATTTTTAATAAAGAATTTTAGTGGTTAACTATATCCATATATGATTCATATACTCTAACGCCTCGACATATGACACTATTTCAATATGACCTAGTAAACGTTCATATAGTGATATTAATATTTTGTAAAGTATTTGTCATACTCTATGCGCCCTTCTCAATATATTCCAAAGATATCCTTACTTTCTCAATGAACCCCATTTTTTATAAGGTACTACATATCCTGCTCAATATATACTACATTATGTCTCTCTCTCTCTCTATATATATATATATATACAAGCTACTCCGCATATCCTTCTTTATATATCCCATTCTATATACGCTAATTTATACATAATTCTGAATATATCCTTTTCCCTATACCCTTCTCAATATATTTCATTTGATAAGCGCTTCTTCACAAGTCTTACTTTATATATCTCTATTTGTAAGCCCAATTTTCTTGGTCAATATATCCTCTTGGTTAGATATTTTTCTCTATATACGCTCCTTTATATAAACGACACAATATAGATTCGAATTTACATATATCCTACTAATACTCAAAATCAAAACTATCAAAATTTGTTTTTCTATAAAAACTTATTTCATTCATACGATATATATCAGCTTTACACAAATTCTTTACGTAAGTCCAAAATAATCTTGATGAAAATTTGACTTCAAATTCAGTACACATATCAAATTCCCTGAACTTCTTTTCTTTTATTTCAGTGCAACGAAAATGCAGTTTAAAGTTCGATTTATGTTGTAAAAAGAAAATAAATTGAAATTGCTTTTAGGTAAAAATAAAATTGGAGTTCCGGGATCGAATCGGTTGCGCTTAAACTCGATTTGACTTGCTTAACAGCAGCTGGGAATTTTTATTTATTAAGTGAATTTCGTATATGTTTCTTACTTTATATTAATCTATTGTTTTATAAGTGTTATATATGAAATGATTTTTATATATTATAGTAACCGGTTGTGGTATTGTTTATAATTTAAAAAAAAAAAAAAACTAACTTGTATAATGTATACTGTTTCTTACTATATATTAATCTATTGTTTTATAAGTGTTATATATGAAATGATTTTTATATATTATATTCGCCGGTTGTGGTATTGTTTATGATTAAAAAAAAAAAAAAAAGTATTATACATTTGTGTTTTCAAATTTATTATTTTCATTTAAACATTTAACTTGTATAATGTATAATGTTTCTTACTATATATTAATCTATTGTTTTATAAGTGTTATATATGAAATGATTTTTATATATTATATTAACCGGTTGTGGTATTTTTTATAATTAAAAAAAAAAAAGTATTATACATTTGTGTTTTCAAATTTATTATTTTCATTTCAATATAATGTTTATAAATATATAAAAAATCATTAAAATATATAAACCAAAACATTAAATTAATTGTATATATGTAAGTAGTATAATGCATCTGCTCAGATAGATATCAAATTCCCTCTTATAATCTTACCAATCAACAAGAATTTGCGTACCTGCTGACCCAGTTACCCGTACCTATTCTCGAACCCATCAAATCA